ACAGAGATGGCTACACCTAGTGCAATGGATATTGTTGATGTTACCATCTAAAGTCTTTTAGCTCCATAGTGTAAGAGGTAGTCTTTATCTCTGGTCGAAGCCGAGTTTCGAGGACCTGTTGGAGTAACTTATCTCTATTATTCCCCAGTGGAGCAAATTCTTCTTTCCCTAATGGAGCAAGTTTCCTGTCTCCCCATTATGGTGTGTATGGGAGCGCCAATCATAACTCGTTCATCCCTGGAGACAAAAGATTTTATTGAGATATCACCAATGGAGTTTTTGTCCCAAGATGTTTGTTTCTTCCTCAAGTGAAGATTTTTTATCCCCCGGGCGATGTTATCCCCAGCGTGTTCTGAGTAGAATTCTTTTTATTTAATAATTTCTACCCCCCATTAGAAGCTATCTTCATCAAGAAGTTCTATGCGAGAAAGTTTCCATCCCCAACGAAGCTCTCCTCTTTTTAACAGAAGATAAACAATTTGTTCCCCAGGAAGTCGGGAGTTTGATCAGAATTCAAGATTTCCTTTGAACTGTAATTTATTTTTGCAGTATTTCTCTCCAGGAAGTTAATTCCCCAGTGATATCGATCTTTAAAGGTTGGTGGTTCCGAGTCTCAGTGCCCCATTGAAGTTCAGATTGCCTTTTCTCTATAGAAGATCAAATGTGTGAGAATAATCATTCGGAAGTTCATTGTCATCTCGACAACTGATTATTGATGTGCTTTCCCCCAGTGCATTGTTAAACATGCATCATTATATTGCATCTGCCAAAATGCGTAGCATTTCCATTGTATGGAGCATTATGCTTTTAAAAAAATTTAAACATGCATAAGTATGAGCCAATTGTGTTTACTTGTGATAACCAGATTGCTATGCACTCAGATTTGAATTATCTCCACAACAAGCTTAGGGTGACCCTATTCTATTTCCCTAATGGAGTCTGTTTGATTTAGCACCAGTCGGGTCATTGGTATCTTCCATTTCCATAGTAAGTCGTGGTTTTCTCTTGCCCTTGCAAGCCTTTGGTTATTTTACTCGTGTTTGCTTCGCCGTCCGAGTGTGAGTAAGAGTCTGTGTATAGCCTTTCTTATTTCTCAAGTATTTGAGTATCCATACTTGGTGTGTTGTAATTCAGATAATTGCCACTCTTGAAGAAATACACTCTGCCTTTGGTCTAAGGGATTTTGTAGTTCTTGCATATTTGCAACTCTTAAAGTCCAACATGTGTTGGTAATCCTTGTTTAGATTCCCCACAATTGGTCTCTCTTTACTAATTACAACTCCGACTTTGACCGGTGTTCTGTTTGGGTTCAATACATATGGGAATCCCCAGTAAGTTCTTTTCCCTTAAATCCGTCTTCGGTTGGTATCCTTGTCAGAGTACCCCTCGGCTGGTTTCTTTCTCCTGTAATGTTCGCCTTTGGTGCGGCGTTCTCTATGAATTTACTTTGGTTAAAATTCTCGTCCAGTTTCCCTAATGGAATTTGTCACGGGGTATCCCCAGAAAGTCTACCTTCGAAGTCCTCTGTTAAGAGTCTACTTCGGCCGGTCTCTTTCTTATATGTGTTTAACTTTGGCCGGACACATATATTTTACCCCTAATTTTCCTTCATTTGGTGTTCTTTCTCCAGGAGTCTATATGCGTTTAGATTTTTTCTTTCCCTGATATATCCGGTGGAGATCGCTTTGTTAGATCTCTTCCATCTCTGATATCTTCGGTCGAGTCCACTGTGTTAGGTCTCTTCCTTCTTTTATATCTTTGGTCGAAATTGCTGCGTTAGATTTCTTCCTTCCTTGATATATCCAGTCGAGATCATTATGTTAGATCTCTTCCATCTTCGATATCTTCGGTCAAGTCCATTGTGTTAGTTCTCTTCCTCCTTTCATATCTTTGGTTGAAATCGTTGTGTTAGATTTCATCCTTCCTTGATATATCTGGTTGAGACCACTTTGTTAGATCTCTTCCATCTTCAATATCTTCGGTCGAGTCCAATGTGTTAGGTCTCTTCCTTCTTTGATATCTTTGGTCGAAATTGTCGTGTTAGATTTTTTCCTTCCTTGATATATCCGGTCGAGATTACTTTGTTAGATCTCTTCCATCTTCGATATCTTCGGTCGAGTCCGCTGTGTTAGATCTCTTCCTTCTTTGATATCTTTGGTTGAAATTGCTGTGTTAGATTTCATCCTCCCTCGATATATTCGGTCGAGATCGCTTTGTTAGATCTCTTCCATCTTTGATATCTTCAGTGGAGTCTGTTGTGTTAGTTCTCTTCCTCCTTTGATATCTTTGGTTGAAATCGTTGTGTTAGATTTCACCCTTCCTTGATATATCTGGTTGAGATCACTTTGTTAGATCTCTTCCATCTTCGATATCTTCGGTCAATTCCGCTATGTTAGGTCTCTTCCTGCTTTGGTATCTTTGGTTGAAGTCGATGTGTTAGATTTCTTCCCTCCTTGATATATCTGGTCGAGATAACTGTGTTAGATCTCTTCAATCTTTGATATCTTTGGTCGAGTCCATTGTGTTAGGTCTCTTCCTCTTTTGATATCTTTGGTTGAAATTGCTATGTTAGATTTCTTCCTTCCTTGATATATATGGTCGAGATCATTGTGTTAGATCTCTTCCATCTTTGATATCTTCAGCCGAGTCCGATGTGTTAGGTCTCTTCCATTTTGATATCTTTGGTTGAAGTCAATGTGTTAGATTTCTTCCTTCCTTGATATATCCAATCGAGATCACTTTGTTGGATCTCTTCCATCTTTGATATCTTCAATCGAGTCCGCTGTGTTAGGTCTCTTCCTACTTTGATATCTTTGGTTGAAGTCGCTGTGTTAGATTTCTTCCTTCCTTGATATATCTGTTCGAGATCGCTGTGTTAGATCTCTTTCATCTACAATATCTTCGTTCGAGTCTGCTATGTTAGGTTTCTTCCTTCATTGATATCTCTGGTGGAAGTCGTTGTTTTAGATTTCTTCCTTTCTTGATATATCTGGTCAAGATCGCTTTGTTAGATCCCTTCTATGTCTGATAGTTTCATTTGAGATCGCTCTGTTAGGTTTCATTCATCTCTGTTGTCTTCGGGTGAAATCACTGTGGGATCTCATGTTTCCCAGCATCTTTGATTGAGTTCGCTGTAGTGGATCCTTTTCTTGAGTATCTAATCTTTGTCCTGTGTGTCTAACCTTGACCTGACATCTAAGAGAATTTACCCAGATAACTACTGTAATCCGAAATAAATAAATAAAATAAAATACAGAAAACTAAAAATATATTAATACCTGACTGACTTCGGAGTGCAAATTTACGGGTTCCTTAAGTATTTAATCTTCTTCCACCCTCAAAGTTCTAAAGGAAGACGCCAATATCACCTTTAGGTTGAAGGCGATTAAATAGGGGCAGCTGTTGCACCCCCAAATTTTCCCTCCTAAATTTCTTTCATCTGGCTTAGGCTGTCGCATTCGTATTTTTTCATTAGGTCACTAATATAGCCTACATTTTGCATTTCAGAAGAGAACCCGAGGTTTAAAAGATTAGTAGCTATAAAACTAGGTTTTACGACTGTTTTGAGGTGTATGTGATTAAATAAGATTGATTATTATGTTTCTTCTTGGTGTACAAGGCTGTGGAGTTAGGGTTTCAGTTCATGCTCATTTTTTGGACTTCTTCTCCATCAAGCTACAAGGCTATTATCTTCTGATGAACAACTGGTTACAGGTTTTTCTTGTCAAGAATTCAAGAGAGGGACCTAGCATACATAATCTTTGAATCAAGATGTCTCCTCATATAAGTGTGCTTATCATTTGATCAGGCTTAATGACTATGACATGGCATTCATCCACTCTTCAGTTAACCAATTCAGGTTTTGTTGAATCATGGTTCAAAGGATCAATGGTTGTGAAGCTAAGGTTTTCTTTTGGTTCGAGGTGTTTATCAAACAAGACTGATTCTTCTGGTTCTTCTTTGTACATTGAATTGTGAATTTAGCGTTTTTATTCATGGTTATTATGGATATCTTCCTTATCAAGCTAAAAGGATATCTTCCTCAAGGTAAGAGACAAAGCCATTTTCATCACAGCGCACCTCAAGAAAATTGTAGTTCTTATGTGTGGCAATTAAGCGTGTTAACTCATCAACTTGGGTTCATTAGATTTACATGTTAAGGCTATCTTGGTAGTTATTCCTCCTATGTCTCAATTTCCATATTCATCTTCAAAGGATTCCTCGAATGATTATTGTTCTCTCGAGTTGTTATTACTTGTAATGCATGTTTCATGGGGAATTGAGGATTTGATTAGGGAAGTATTCATTCAAGTATCTTAAGGTGCAAGTGTCATAAGTATTTCCTGTAATGCATGGTATAAGTAAATGCAAAGGTTATAAGGCATGCTCTCAATATTAGTTAAGGTTCTCAAGCACATGTTTGTCAATATTTGATTCATGCTAGTATTGGAAGAAAGTTCACGTGGATTTCTTCACAAGTTAACTTGGACTTATGGTTTCAATTGAGTTTGAGGTGCATTAATCAAGCATGTAAATTGAAAGATCCATCCATGGTTGATCTCTTAAAATTTAAGCTACCAAGGCGAAATAATACAACATTTCAAACGTTATTCAAGGCATGAGATCACTTTCAATTTCAAGTGGAAGATTCAAGTTCCAAGTGATTCTATTCAAAATTTCCAGCAAAGTTCTTCATCCAATTTCAGTTAAAAGTTCCATTAACCATTTCAAAACCTCTTCATTCCATATTCAACAAAAATTCCAACAAGTTCATTCATTTACAAATTTATCAAGTCCTTTCAATTTCAAATATCATACACAATTTTTGTTCAAATTACATTCAAAACCTGTACAAATTCCATACGTGTCCATTGCATAGCTCAATTACAAGATATATTCAAATTCATTCAAAGATGCAAGAAAACTTAAACCTAATAAAGTCTATCCTAATTTGAATCATTCTCCATGTTCCAACATCAACATCAACTCCATCATTATACTCAATGTTGCACTGCATCAAATCGTCCACCTGCTAACTGAACTAGGCACCATACCAGGCTTGCATAACACACAAAACCTGTTGCATCAGTCACAAGAGCCCATGTTCACATTGCAAAAACGATTTCAAAGAGCCACGAGCTGTCGCGTATGCCTTAAAGGAAACATGTCATCACCATTTTAACAGCTTAAAGCGTACAAACTGCAAAACATATGCAAGAAAAATGGCAGCTCATCAACAACATCACCGTGATTAAGTCCACAGAAAAAAAATCAAAAGAACAAACTGCTAACTTAAATCAAAAGCTCAGATTCATAACAGAGTTTCACTTCGTGAACCAATTGCAACCCCTGAAGCAAACATCGGCTCTACAACTTTTGCAGTGCCATCATATGGGTTCAATACTTTCGATCGGTCTTTTGGAGATCCATTTGGTGATTCACCATTTAAGGCCGATGCTTCTGCGGAAACCATTCCAGTTTAACAATACAGGGAAAAGTTCAGAAATATTAGAAAGAGGAAATTGTGATAACAAAAAAGGAGAAGAAAGTTTTGAAATAAAAAAGGTAAGAAGGAAAGAAGAGAACCGTGGGAATAAAAAATAATGGAATCAGAAACAGAATTACAAACTAACAAATAGTGCCAGCTCATTTCAAGTCGACATAAAGAATGCGGGGGCAACCTACCAACGTGCCATGGTTGCTTTATTTCATGATATGATCCATCATGAGATAGAAGTGTATGTTGACGACATGATCGCAAGGTCCCAGACTGAGGAAGAGCACCTAGATCATCTGCAGAAATTGTTTGACAGGTTGAAACTATACAAGCTGAGGTTGAACCCGAACAAATGAACCTTCGGGGTAAGATCTGGAAAGTTGCTAGGCTTCGTTGTAAGTGATAAGGGTATTCAAGTGGACCCTGCCAAAGTCAAGGCTATTCAAGAGATGCCAGTCCCAAGAACAGAGAAAGAGGTCAAAGGCTTTTTAGGACGCCTGAATTACATTGCTCGCTTCATCTCACACCTGACTTCTACCTGTGAGCCAATCTTCAAGCTGCTGAAGAAAGATCAGGTAGTACGTTGGAATGATGAATGTCAGGCTGCATTTGACAGAATCAAAGAGTATCTCCAAGAACCACCCATCCTTATGCCACCGGTTGAAGGGAGACCTCTGATATTATACCTGACAGTACTGGACAACTCAATGGGGTGTGTGCTGGGACAGCATGACGAGTCTGGCCGAAAAGAGCATGCCATTTATTACCTTAGCAAAAAGTTTACCGACTGTGAGACCCGATACTCACTGCTTGAGAAAACTTGCTGCGCTTTGGTATGGGCTGCTCGCCGGCTGAGACAGTATATGCTGACTCACACTACCTTGTTAATCTCAAAGATGGATCCGATAAAGTACATATTCGAAAAGCCTGCTCTGTCTGGGAGAATAGCAAGATGGCAGATGATCTTGACAGAATACGACATTCAGTACACGACCCAGAAAGCCATCAAGGGAAGTGTATTGGCAGACCACTTGGCACATCAGGCAGTAGATGACTATCAGTCAATGAACTTCGAGTTTCCGGACGAGAGCATCATGATTGTGACTGATTGTGAAGTACCTGGACCGGATGAAGGACCTGAGGAAGGATCCCGATGGTCTATGCACTTTGACGGAGCCTCCAATGCTTTGGGTAACAGTATCGGCGCTATAATCATATCCCCTCAAGGCACTCATACTCTGCTCACTGCCCGACTATGTTTCAACTGTACCAACAACATGGCAGAGTATGAGGCGTGCATCATGGGTCTTCAAGCTGCGATCGACCTAAGGATCAAGTTTCTGAGTGTCTTCAGAGATTCCGCTCTCGTGATCAATCAGATCAAAGGAGAGTGGGATACGAAACATCCGAATCTTATTCCTTACAGAGAATGTGTGTTGACCTTGATCCCCCACTTCACGAAGATAACCTTTGAACACTTTCTAAGAGAAGAGAATCAGTTGGCGGACACGTTAGCTACAATGTCTTCTATGTTCAAGGTCAAATGGGACAATGAGGCTCCCCTGATCATCATCTGGAAACTGGACGAACCGGCATACTGTTGCGATCTCGAGACTGAATTGGTGACTGAGAAGCCTTGGTACCATGAGGTGAAGAGATACTTGGAAGCTCAGGAGTACCCTGAGGGTGCCTCTGTCAACGATAAGAAGTTCCTGAGAAGGTTCGCAGCGAAGTTCTTCCTTAGCAATAGCATCTTGTACAAGCGAAACCATGATTCGACATTACTGCGTTGTGTAGATAAGTCTGAAGCGGAAAGGATCATGGAAGAGCTACATGAAGGGACCTTTGGTACACACTCCAGTGGACACACTATGGCAAAGAAAATCCTTCGGGCAGGGTATTTCTGGTCCACAATGGAAGCTGACTGTTACCAGCACTCTCGGACATGCCACAAGTGCCAGATTTACGCAGACAAGGTGCATGTTCCTCCAGTTCCTCTGAATGTTCTGACTGCGCCTTGGCCGTTTGCAATGTGGGGCATAGAAATGATCTGTGAGATTAAACCTACAGCGTCTAACGGGCATCGCTTCATCCTGGTAGCGATTGATTATTTTACAAAGTGGGTTGAAGCAGCTTCATACGCTACGGTAACCAAGACTGTTGTGGCACGGTTCATCCGACATAATCTGATATGCCGGTACGGCATCCCAGAGAGGATCATTACAGACAACGGTACCAATCTTAATAACAAGATGATCACTGAGCTCTGCGAGCAGTTCAAAATACAGCACCACAATTCTTCTCCCTACAGGCCGAAGATGAATGGGGCTGTAGAAGCAGCAAATAAGAACATTAAGAAAATCGTGCAGAAGATGACAGTGACCTATAAAGATTGGCACGAGATGTTACCGTTCGCTCTACATGGGTACCGTACCTCAGCCAGGACGTCAACCGGGGAAACTCCTTTCTCCTTGGTTTATGGTATGGAGGCAGTCTTACCGATCGAAGTACAAATACCCTCTCTCCGGATAATGAAGGATGCAAATCTGAACGAAGATGATTGGATCCAGACACGACTTGATCAATTAAACCTCATTGATGAAAAGAGACTTGCTGCTATCTGCCACGGTCAGACGTATCAGAAACGGATGATCAGGGCATTTAACAAAAAGGTCAGACCACAGGAATATCAAGTTGGGGATCTGGTAATCAAGCGAATCATCCTTCCTCAGAGTGATCCAAGGGGCAAATGGACCCCTACGTACGAAGGGCCATTTGTGGTTAAACATGTGTTCTCAGGAGGAGCCATGATTTTAACCAACATGGATGGTGACGACCTTCCTCACCCCGCCAATGCAGACATAGTAAAAAGATACTACGCATGAAAAAGACCCGCTAGGCTGACATGCCTAGGCAAAAATTAGGGCTTCCCGGCGAACCAAAAGGGTTCGGGCAAAATGAAGGGATGAAATGAAAAAATCTATACACCCGGCAAGTCGAAAACCTGAAAAGGCGACTTGGGCAAAAATGGGTATCCCGGTGGACTGAAAACCCGAAAGGGCGGTCCAGGCAAAAGTTAGGGATAAAGCATAATACTATGTCTCATTGGATCACTTGGCATCCAGAATCCGGTATCTATCAAGGTCAGACGACATCGATCAGTCAGCTTCATCTTCAACCAAGGTCATCAAGTGATGAGACGCTCGGGGATATAAAGGCGATAGCAGAGTTGAAACCCAGTGGGATCATTCATTTCATGCAGCTGTTTTATTTTCTCTTGTACAAAATTTGTATAAACTCTTTTTTCGGCGGCGTTCTCTTACTAGGACGTCAGCCTCTTGTACATAAACGCCTATTTTCAGGCTATTCAAAAATCAATACAAATATATTTTTCAGTTAAAATGGCCAATTGTTTTTCCTTTTTCTGTTTTGTTTTGCGAAGAACGTCCAAGGTTCAATTTGTGATATATGCATTGACAATAATTTGCTAACTCATGAATATTTGCATACGAAACAAAGGATTAATTACAGGTAACATTAGAAACAGGGGAAATAAAGAGTTGTCTGCGCAATCTAATTGTTCTATCCACTAAGGTATCAAGATAGGTTCAGCTAAAGAACACAACCCGATATCCCAATTCCCCAGAGAGTGAGCCAGCAAGTCAGTGCACTCTCCCCAAGCAAGGCTATTATCAATCAAAAAGGAAATTAAGTATCCCCCGTAGGTCTCAACATTCCCCAGCAGCACCATACGTATTCTTAATAAGCATCCCCGGCAGTCTTGGTCTAAATATTGTTCCCCGGCGGTATATCAAACATTCAAAGGAGTCACTTCCCCGATACAGTTCAAAACTTCCCCAGGAGAGTCCAGCCCAGTTTCCCCAGGAAAGTTGGAATCCATCTCCCCAAGCAGTAAGCTTATCCCCAATAGATTTTGGAAGCTTACCCTCGCAGAGCACGAACGCGTCCTCCGGCTTTATTCAAAGAGTTATTTCCTTACCAGGATATAACTGGGTTATCCTCAGCCAAAAGCCACGGAAAGATCGTCGTCGACAAAATCTTCTTATCCCCAGCGAAGTCTAGTAACACTTCCAATACAACAAGGGTATCCCCAGCAAGTTATTATCAACAACTCAGCAAAGTATCTCTCTCCCCACAGAGTATTGCCCCAGCAAGATCACTAGAGTACTTTTCTCCCCGAAGAGTAATCCATTCGCCAAGTTTGTCCCCAACGGAGTTATCTTCTCCTACCGGTATTCTTGCAGCTATCATCCCCAGCGGAAGCAAAAATCTATTCTCCAAACATCAGCCCAGGAGTGACTTCCCGGCACCCGTCAAGGATTTATTCTCCTAAAAAACGAAAACATACATTCCTAAACATCACATACATCATTATAGCATGCATATACGCATCATATCTCACAAATCTCATTTATGTTGAGAACATCATTGCTTGATCCATATCATGCATTGCATATGACTGACCTTTACCTTTCAGGAAAGATTCAGTTAAGTTCTCAGCTATTTCAAGACCTAGACCGGTTCAGTCAATCGACCCTAAGATTCTCTGTTTCTTATCCAGTCCAAGGCCTTCTCTAGTCTAGTTAAATCGACCCCAAACAGATTTTTCTGATAAAGACTTAGTAGAAGTTATCTATGGTTCTCTCCCCGATCCTGCGGAGGTGGTAATCCCAGATTTCGCTCAACGATTGTTGTTGAAGTTGAAGTTATCCAAGGTTCTCTCAATGTTTGCTGTTGAGGTGGTAATCGCCTATGGTTCTCTCCCCGATCCTGCAGAGGTGGTAATCCCAGATTTCGCTCAACGATTGCTGTTGAAGTTGAAGTTATCCAAGGTTCTCTCAATGTTTGCTGTTGAGGTGGTAATCGCCTATGGTTCTCTCCCCGATACTGCGGAGATGATAATTCCATCCAAGGTTTTCTCAATGATTGCTATTGAGATTGTAATCGCCTATGGT